CCCCAAAACCCCAAAACCCCAAAACCCCAAAACCCCTTAAGCCAGATATTTGGATGAAATTTATTAAAATATATCAATAAAATATGGAGGTACTCAAGATTTCCTTAGTTTTAATGATCGCGATCTCTCTGGGCTCTGCGAGGTTCGAAATCATCGACAATCCAGCAGGTAACTTAACTGTGCTCATACATATTTAGCATTGAATGTGTTCCATTCGGATCGTCAGTCAACCCCAGTAGTTGGCCCACCGCCAAAGAACCAGACTAGCAAAGATATTGAAATAAGGTTCCATCAATGTGCAATGGAGTTTGATTTCAAACATCGTGAACTAGCTGATATTATTGATGTATACAAACAAGTCATGTTTGGTAAGAACTATGCTAAAGAATGCCCTGCTGGTTCCGAACTCAACTTAATCCACTACATGGGTAATGGAAAGAAGCTTATTGATGTAAAGATTGACTATAAGGCTGTCTCTAGGCAAATGTCTCCAACCAAGTTCCAAAATGTTCATGAAAAGTATTCCATACTTGTGGAAGAGAACGGAAGAGTAGTTATCGAGGCGGATTATTATCCAGGTATTGTCAGAGCTCTTGATACACTCTCACAACTGATCGAAAGAAACGAAGACCAAGGCAACAATAAGGAATATCGTATTAAGTATACTCCAATTTTGATTAAAGACGAGCCAGACTATGCTTACAGAGGTCTTATGCTTGACACTTCAAAGGAATATTTTAATGTAGGAGATATCAAGCTACTTCTCGACGGAATGATGATCAGCAGGTTAAATGTCTTCCACTGGCATTTTATGGACTCAGACAGCATGGCAATGAAGCTCAACTCCTTTCCAGGAATTACAAATAACACTGCTTTCAGATCTTCCGAAGTGTACACTTCTGATAATGTCAAAGAAATTACGCTATATGCTAAAATTAGAGGAATTAAAGTGATCCCAGAGATTCAAACCCCTGCCAATGTAAATGTCCTAGGCAATCATAAGCCCTTAAAAGATCTTGTTAGATGATACTCTGATCCTTCAATGGTCAGCAGAAAGAACTCTTACCCTTCTGAAGCTGTCCTTGACATCGGAAACACAAGAAGTGTTGATTTCGTTGACAAGGTAATCAAAGATGTTCTTGAGATGTTTGAACCAGAGATCCTACACCTTGGTGGAGATAAACCAAATATTGGATGTCTCAACCATATTTCCGATCCTGTTGAGTCTTTAAGAAAATATATCGAGAAAGAAAGAGAAATTCTGAAGAAATATAGCTCAGATACTAGAGCAATGTACTGGTTCGAAGATGGCAGCTTTAGATATAATCCAACTGATATCCTTCATTATAAGGGAAATAGCAGACAATTCGAATATACCATCTCTTCTCATCGTGAAAATTACTACGTTTTCAGTCCATCTGACATTATGGTAGTGCATCATGGATATCCTGATAATGCAGGAACTCATAGAAATACAGGTAGAACAGAATCATGGAAGAGATACTGGGACTTCAACCCTGCTTCTTATAATAAGAATGGCAAAATGCTAGGAAGTGAGGTACTCGTTTGGACTGAGATGATGAACGAGTTTGAATTTCTTCCAAAAACATTCCCGAGAGCAGGAATTGTTTCTTTCAAACACTGGAACTCTACTCCTTCAATTTCAAGTGGAGCTGTTATAGAGACAATAATGAGACTCCAGTACAGGCTGAAATCATTTGGAATACCAACAGAGAAGATATCGATGAGATATTGTGAAGAACATACACACCATTGCTTTGGTCCATAACTCTTCATAGCTCAATCAGTTTGTGCATTCTTGGGGTTTTGGGGTTTTGGGGTTTTGGGGTTTTGGGGTTTTGGGG